TATTAATTACTTTTGGGTTTGTATTTAGAAATTATTATCAGAATTACGCTTTTTTAAATTAGTATTATTTCTTAAAAAAACCTCAGTCAGTCAGTAGAAAAACGAGCAGCATAACAATATTATGAGTGAATCGCTCTTGCAAAGTTTCTTCAGGAAATTTTCAAAGTATTGAGGAACTGAATGTTAGACGCATTAATAAATGAATAAAAAATGGTTAAAACTTTGCAGAAGGTTTACTTTAACTGTGAATACTCAATTTATTTTGGAAAAAGTGTATTGGCTACCACGCCCCGTGAGAAAGAGACAAAATGCTTTTGCAGGACAACTAAAAACTGATTGTCCTTAGAGAGTATGTACAGGAAAAATAAAAAATAAACCTCTCACTTAAAACTGCGAAATTTAGCAAAAGCGAATTGAGAAACTTGCCAACAATGCTTTCGATTCGTAATTATAAACGTCGGTTTTCTCATTAACGTTGCGAAAAATATGTTGCTTAATAATAAATCCAACAAATTTTTCTGATGAAACTATTAATTCATCGCACCAATTACTTGAGAAAAGTGAACATTTTAAATGCTAGTTTTCCCAATTGAGTTCGCACAGCAATGCTGCAAAACTTGTATTTCAATGCTTAGTTTTTTCTTAGAAACGTACACTTTTTTTACATTTAACCCTTCATCACAACATTATTTTCGGTTCTCTACAAGAATTCATGTTTGAATGTGCACAGCTTAATGGTGAAAAGGAAAAGTTTCTGGTAGAAATGTGTTAAGTTAATAAAACCACGTCTTATTCCTCCCTTATTCCTTCAAAGTTTCAGATAGTAGAAAAGCTGCACGAAACTTTAAATCTTTCTTCTGTTGCTCTGACTATTTTAATCGCTGCTTGAGAGTATCTACTGCTTTTCAAGCCTATTCAAGAAAGTCACACTTGATTGTTTTTCGAGAATGTGATACATTTAAAATTTTGTAGAGTACAAACTAAAAACTAACCACAAAGATTTAGGAAAAGTGAAGTTTTTAGACACTCTATTAAAAATATTTTAAGATTAATACCGATATTTCCAATCGTTTTGAATATATTAACTTTTAATTTTTGATGGAATTCAAAAGTCTTTTTAGAAAATACGCAGCTCTGAATAAAACCAATTGATGCAAATAAAGTGTTATCAAAAAAGGTTCCGATAAGCAAATCGTATTTTAAAAAAGCAATATTACTTATGGTGCGAAGTTTTATAACTTTGATTGATATTTATTTAATTTTCACTGGTTTAATTGTTACTGCCTGTTTTTTTCGCAAATAAGTCACAATTATGGTAAGACATTTTT